GCTCCTACACCTGAAACTGGAGGATCGTCAGACGATACCTCCAGGAGCGACATGGTAGGAGGAACTCCCTCGAGGATCTCCTACCGGTCAGAGTCGCCTATGAGCGATGAGGTCCAACCAATGGACCTCGGAGTGGTGACTGAGGAACCCGAAGGGGGACCTCAGTCAGACCAATAACAGGAGGCCGAGCCGACGAAGGGGGGCGATGGAGCCAAGCTGCGGAGGAGCCACAACAAGTAAGTTAATTTATGTCTGTAAAAGTCCTACAAATTAATTTGCAACATGGGAAAGCCCCAACGGCCCTGGCATGCCGAAGGATCCGAGAGTGGGACATAGATATCCTACTAATACAGGAGCCTTGGACATACCAGGGCAAGATAAGAGGGCTAGGAATGGGCGGAGGAACGGCCCATTACTGTGCCTCTGTCGATACCAGCCCCCGGGCGTGTATTTATACAAAAGGCATGAAGGTCTTCCCTGTCCCAGGATTCTGTACCAGAGACCTGGTGGCGGTAGAGATCCTCATGCCGTTAAATGATCGCACCCAGGAGGTAGTAGTCTGCTCAGCGTATTTTCCGTACGAGACAGCTGCTCCGCCTCGGGAGATCGAATCGTTAGTACGATATTGCGAGGAATCTGGGAAGGGCCTTCTCATCGGCTGTGACTCGAATGCCCACCATATTCTGTGGGGCAGCCGGGACACGAACCCGAGGGGAAGTGCTCTGCTCGAATTCCTCACCACCAGTAATCTGGAAATCATAAATGAGGGCTCAGTACCTACTTTTTTCACGCCTAGGCGGCAATCTGTTATAGATCTTACTCTATGCACTCGAGATATGTTGACCCAGGTTCATTCATGGAAGGTGTCACAAGATGAATCTCTATCAGATCATCGACACATTCTGTTTACGCTGGGGGGTATAAGCGCTCCAGAAAAAGAAAAATATAGGAACCCTCGCGCCACCAAGTGGGACCTCTTTCGGGAGGAACTCAAAGGAAGGCTTGTGGGTCTGCCATCAAAGTACGGGAGTGAGGCCGAAATAGATACAGTGGTGTCGTATCTTAACAAGGCCATCACTTCCTCGTACGAAAACAGCTGTCCACTTAAAGACAGAGCTACCAATGCTAGAACGCCATGGTGGAATTCAGAAATAGAAAACCACCGCAGGCTCACAAGAAAGCTTCTAAACAAAGCGAAACGCACAAACGTACCGCAACACTGGGAAGAATATAAGTCTGCCCAGAGAGCGTACAAAAAAGCCATTCGGCAAGCACAAAGAGACAGTTGGCGTGCCTACTGCGGAGAAATAAACACAATTTCTTCTGCGGCAAGGATATGCAAAGTTCTCTCCAAAGAACCGGGAAGAGGAGTGGGCGTGCTGTCTCTGTCAGATGGTCGAGAAACCACAACGGCAGAGGAAACATTGCAGCACCTCATCTCCACACACTTTCCGGATTCAGAAATATCCAACGAACCACCTTTGAGGACGAGCCCAGTGAGAAGAACTCACATGGACTATCAAACGGCGTCAAAGGTGGTTACATACGAGAAGGTGAGATGGGCTGTAAAGACATTCGCACCATTTAAATCACCAGGGGAAGATGGAATATTTCCGGCCCTCCTACAAGAGGGACTGGACACCATCATTTCCCTGCTTATGAAGATATTTCGGTCCTGTCTGGCTCTGGGCCACATACCAGTGGAATGGAGATCGGTTAGGATCGTATTTATCCCGAAACCAGGGAAAACAGATTATTCCGATGCCAAAGCGTATAGACCCATCAGCCTCACGTCTTTCCTCATGAAAACACTGGAGAGGCTGATAGATCGATACATCAGAGATGTGCCACTGCAAATAAACCCGCTGCATGCACAACAATATGCCTATCAGACTGGGAAGTCCACAGATGCGGCTCTCCATCATCTTGTCCATAAGATAGATGGAGTGCTAGCTGGTGGACGCTCAGCCATGGGAGTCTTTCTAGACATAGAAGGAGCATTTGACAATACGTCATTTGAATCGATATGCCATGCCGCGGATAGACATGGGGTCCATCAAACCTTGACCAGGTGGATTAGGGCCATGCTATCGCAGCGAGTGGTAAAAGCAGAACTATGTGGGAGGTCGGTTGCTGCCAAGGTATCAAGAGGATGTCCTCAAGGAGGGGTTTTATCACCACTACTATGGTGCCTGGTAGTAGACGAGCTCCTCATAGATTTGAATAGGCCAGGGCTATATGCGCAAGCATATGCAGATGACTTGGTAATAATGGCCCAAAATCAATCGGCGAACCGGCTAGGGAATCCAATAATGGAAGCCCTCAATAAAGTGGAACAGTGGTGTTCCACCAGTGGATTGAGAGTCAATCCAGAAAAGGCGAACTTGGTATTATTCACTAAGAAACGCAAAATAGGAACACTTCCTGAGATATTTCTCTCGGGAAAGTGTCTCCAATATAAAAGCTCATCAAAGTACCTTGGAGTTATAATAGACTCCAAGCTCACTTGGAATGAGCACATTGCAAACCGCACTAAGAAGGCTGTATGCTGCTTCTGGGCATGCAGACGAGCCTTTGGAAAAACATGGGGTCTCACACCCAAGACCCTTCACTGGATATACACGGCAGTAATACGCCCAACACTTACGTACGGGTCCATTGTATGGTGGACCAGTACCAATAAGGGCAAGACCAACAGAGAACTGGATAAAGTCCAGCGACTGGCCTGCCTGGGAATAACAGGTGCTTTGAGAACGACGCCTACCAGGGCTCTTGAAGTTCTGTTAGGTCTGCCGCCTCTACACCTGTTCATACAATACGAAGCCATGAGAACTGCTTACCGACTCAACGGTGCAAACCAGTGGGTCGGAACAGAAGCAGATCATGGACACTCCCTCATATGGAATAAGGCAAAGGAAAACTGTCCCATCCTCATGATGAGAAGGGATAATACCTTGCCAATTCTGAATTTCAACAAAGCCCCAAACACTGTCATCCCTACGAGGGAAGAATGGAATGACACAACACCTGGCGTGCCTCCTCCCAATGAGTCAATCTGGTACACGGATGGCTCAAGATTTGAGGGCGGTTCAGGTGCAGGGGTATACAATGAAGAAACAGGTAAAGAAATTTCAGTTCCTTTGGGCGAATATGCCTCAGTGTTCCAGGCAGAAGTACTTGCAATACTCACCTGCGTCCAAGAAAACCTAATTATGAGAGGTCGTAGACCAATCACTATATGCTCGGACAGCAAAGCTGCAATACTGGCTTTGCAATCCAATAGGATCACATCCAAATTGGTGTCCGAGTGCAGAAAAGCCTTGGAAAACCTGGCAAAATCAAGAAAAGTCAGCCTCATGTGGGTCCCGGGACATTCGGGAATACCCGGAAACGAGGAGGCAGACAGACTGGCAAAGATCGGTTCCGGACGGACCGCGGTCGGACCGGAACCAATTTTGGGAATACCAAATAGCCTGGCAATGTCCTCTATAGAGGAACAGCTGCGAAAGCAATTCCTCAAAATATGGCAGGACACACCAGGAATGAGACAATCGAAGCTCCACATAAAGGAACCTTCGAAGAGGCTCGCAAAAGAGGTTTTATTCCTAAACAGGCGAAACCTTAAAATGGTAGTAGGGCTCCTAACGGGGCATAACCACCTCAATAGGCACCTAGAGCTTATTGGGATCAAGGATGACCCCCTTTGCAGATGGTGCCTGGAAGATGACGAAACGTCATCACATGTCCTCACTGAGTGTCCAGCACTGACGCATCAGAGGAGGGCTGTCCTTGGCCACATAATTTTGAGGCCAGAGGACGTAAAAGAGATTCAGCTGAGGAAGCTGCTGAACTTCTCCAAGGCAGTCGGCATACCCAGCTGAATGTCGTAACATGTGGGCGCACAATGGGCCCGAATAAGGAGGCCCACGTGCAGGGGATTCACCCGCCCACCAGTGCTTCGAAGAAGAAGAAGAAGAAGAAGTTAGCTTTCCTGAAATTGTGGAATGATTCCTGTCAATCTGAGCATAATACAAGGTCAACAATTGATTCATATTCAAAACTTGTTTCAAGTTTCTCGATTGATATGATATTGTGTTCAATTTCTTTGTTAATAGTGTACAATGGTTATGCCACCCCAAACATTAATCGATAGAGAGTCCCAGGAATTTGGTGCTTTTACTATCTGTATCTGTGAGATCAGAATTTTCCTTTGCATGGAAAGTAATAAAGTCACACTTTTTCTGACGATTGTGAAATCGAATCGAAACTGTTTTATCAACATTCAAGTAAAGGTTACTTACAGAAAACCATCTATTCAAATCTTGAAAAACTTGATTGCATTTATCCTTGAGGGCTGAATCATTCTTATCAGAGATAATTATGGAGGTATCATCTGCATACATGGTCATAGATTTACGCCGGTACAAAGGCTGGATAACAACGGATTTGTTGGATAAGAGGAGTACATACGGTTGAATCTTATGATCATTGATGGACTCGGCTTATGGCAATAGTCGAGTAGAGTAATAATATATTACATAACCACGTATAATTTTTGAAAAAATTGATTACCTGATCTGGAGAAATTGTTACCGGAAGGAGACAGAAATCCAATAAACCTAAAGAGAGAAGAAATTGCGGTGTCGGTGTTTGCTTCTTACTCTGTTGTCATTTGTTGTTAACATCGTCTTCCGTTTGATGTAATCTTGATTGCAATGGCATAGTTCACAAGCATGCCTCTAGTGACGCAATTTGTATGCTTTTTGATAAAAGCACTTTGAAATCTGAGGTGACTTATTTAGACATTTGACTGATGTTACATCACCAAAAATGACATTTCTTGATTGACTGCTGGCAAGTATCATACTTAGTCTGCTTTTTCCAATGCTGCCACTAGTGGAAGGAGTGAGAATTTGTATGTGAAGTCATTTCAATTTGATTGGTTATATTATACCTCATCCGCTAGAAAATTTAATGAAGGTTATTGTATTTTATTACAGGAAAAGGGAAAAGCGTTACAAGCATTCGGAGGATTTGCCACAGATCTCCATGAAACGGTTGAGATTGAAGTTTGGAAACGAGAGTCATACAATTGATTTCCCGTCCACTAGTGATAACTGTGAGACTTGATGCATGGTAATTGTAGATTTTTAGCCTTTTTCGTTTTTCAGAGGGTACTAGGTAACGCGATGGTGGCAATTTGACGTTGCATGACACACTACTTTCTCAAATGGAATTTGAGAAATGACAAATAGAATAGGCTTGTTTGTTATTGTCCAAATAACAAATATGTCACAAACAATAACAAAAAATACAAACGATGTAGGTACTATTTATTTGTAGCTCGCTATTTTGAGTTCATTGGTATTGTATCGGTCAACATTTAACTTATATACAGGGTATTTTATGAAATTTTCACCAATACGTTTATTTTCCTTTCAAAACTTGAGTAGTAGTATGTATTTCGTTGGTACAGTGCATCCCATTTTGGTTGAGACTGACAGGTTTCTCTGTTGTTATTGAAGATAGAGCCTTGCGGTTTCCATGTCCCTGTTCTACTTTTTTGTGAACTCTGAACTCTTTCCATTTATGAAATACAGGGTGATTTTGCAAATTCATACTTTTTGGATCTCTTCCATATTTACGTACTTATTAAAAATGATATCGCGCTAAGAACTACGTTTAAAATAGAATTTTAAACAGAATCCAGTGAACGTACGACACAAACTTATATATTTTCCAATGGAACAAGCTGCATTTCATTATCTCGTCAAATTATTTATTTTTTCTTCTTCAAAATGACGTGTAATACTAATACTTGATACAAAGGGGTTCCAGAAATGCTAATGAAAACTAAAACATTGAATTATTATGATTTTTTGTTATTGGGCCGTGGTTTTTCCATATAAAAGAAGTATCAATTATTAAGGAATTTCAATTTGTGATATTTTTCATAGATTAGGGAAAGATTGAATACTAACACTAATTCACTTATACAAATCATTAAACGTAGGTATCTGAAAATACCATATAAATAGTAATACGTAGTTCATAATAGATATATAAAAAAAAGTACCAAACTCATATAAAATATAATGAATCATACACAATAACCCTTCAAGTAAAATTGGAGAAGTCATGGCCCACTAGCAAAAATGCATCATGATTTGATGTTTTGGAAAGTGTTTTTTCAGCACTTCTTAAATCCTATGTATGAAGTATTTTACATCATTTTGAAGGAACAAATAAAATGAATTCAACGAGATAATGAAATACAGGGTGATGCATTAAATATATAAGTTTGTGTCGTATCTCGAAAACCATACCCCGAAAAAAAATTGAGTCAGCTGGTTGGTCAGACTGATGGTCAGACTTCACACTGAACTTATGTGACGGTCAAACCACAGACTTTACACTTGACACAGCCATGAGTTGAAAAAAAATAGGCATTTTGTGCTTTTTGTTGGCAGCAGTTACTGTCAAATTGAGTATCATATGTCAAATGCATTGTCTTTTGTCAATGTCAATTATAATTAGTTTGAAAAACTGGAGCGTTTCGGCCAGGAAAGGGACATTGGTGTCGGCTTCATTAATGAAATGGCAGTAAATGAGGAAGGATCATTGAATGTCAAGGTTAGTGAATGTGGCCGATAGTGATTCATTGATTGAATATTTTCTTTATGATCGAGCTCTATTTGAGAAATTTCAATGTGTAAATAATAGAATACTATACATTCGTAAGTACCCTATACATTCCTACTCCGTGACGCCGATTGAAAAACGAACGGCCCAAGAAGTTGTCATATGTGAAATGCATTGTCTTTTGTCAATCTCAATTGAAAACCGCAAATATGAAATGTATAACTTCTGGAACTGTGGTCGATAGAAATTGTGAAAAACAATTCATGAATGCCATTTAGTTTCAATTTGTACAATGGTCTAATGTCACTGAATTCTGCTAAATATTCCCTGTTAGACGTAGTTCATAGTGCAATATTATATCTCATAATTTCGTAGATATAAAAGGGGTCAAAAAAGTATTCACAAAATCGCCCTGTATCTTATAAACGAAAACAGAAATGCAAACTTTGATTAGGCCATCTTTAGTTCCACAAAAAAATAGGAAAGGAACGTGAAAACCGCAAGGCATATCTTCAATAACAACCGAGCAACCTGGCAGTCTCAACCAGCCCTGTACAGGGTGCGCCTCTTAAAATGGAATTTCCCCTTAACTCTTTCGTTTTCAGAGATGTGAAGAAATATTAAATGAAAAAGTTGTGTCAAACGACCCAAACTTTTATTTCGTGAAGTTGTTTCATATACGGGGTCATTCGTTTTTCCAGAAAGGACATCAACTTTGATTTTTTTCAATGGAACACCCTATATAATTTACGACATGTCGATAGAGCCTTTTTTTCTGATTTCAAAAATATATATGTGTTGCATATTTGGATGAAGAATAGTTGAGTTATTGATCAAAATTTACCAAAATACTGCATTATGGGCCTTCACTTCATATCATCTAAAATAAGTTGAATATAGTGGGCTTTGGAATAACGTTTATATATTGTTCAAGCTCCATGGAAATGTCATAGTATTGTTTATTGTGAAATTGAAATCGTTCAATCACAATACAAAAAATATGAATAGACAGTTTCAATGGAATATTCGGTATTTTGGTAAAATTTGATAATCAATGACTCGATTTTTTTTTTTTTTCAAATATGCAACTCATATATATCTTTGAAATCAGGAAGAAAGGATCTATCGACATGTCAGAAAATATACAGTGTGTCCCACTTACCATGCTCACCATGGGTATCTTTTTAACGGTGAGAGATACGAGGTCGGTTAAATGACACCAAATGTGGAGTTTGTCGAGGCCAACTATAATGTGAAAAAATATTTTGATAAAATCTATTCGTTTTTGTTTTATATGCAAAAAACATATTTTGATCATTTTCATGTCTCCTCTGTAAATTCTTTATTTAGGAAAATATTCAAATAGGAATTTCACATTCTAATGGCAGTTTTTCAAAGTGATTTCGAAAAAAATATGAAATTTATACCAACTCTTCTAGAATTTGAGATATCAGCACCAACTTTGGTTTTTCAAATGTAGGTCATAGCTCACTATGACTTAGTTACAAATAAAATTTTTTCTCCTACAGATGATATGTCGCAGTAATAGTTTTGTGTTGATAACAAAGGAGTTATCGTCATTTAAACAAAAACAAAATATTATTTGGAAGCCGTCATCTTGAATTTATGAATTTTAACAAAAAAAATCATGAAATCCGACCTCAAAAACTCCCACTTACCAATTTTGAATGGAATCGGACCAAATTTTGTCCGCCATCTTGGAGCAGCCATTTTTTTTAATTTCAACAAAAATTACATAATGTATTGTCACCGAAATTATGAACACCTGCCAAATTTCAAGTCAATCGGCGTTGACAAAGAAAGAAGTTTTGAAATTGCGAAGTCACACCCATTGAGCTTATGGAAACTTCGAACGCAAATACCTTTGTAATAGTTTAAAATAACCCTATCAAACCCGGTATCGTTGAATTCGTCATGATAATCCCTAACCGATTATGGAATACAATACAGGGTGTCCCATTTGAAAATCAAAAGTTGGTGAAACTGGAAGTGATAGAAGGAAAATTGTTTCATCAATTAATGAGCAATTTGGTATATTTACTACCCAGCAATTTTCAAAACCTAATCTCGAATAATTCAAAAGTTACAGACTTGGCCATTTTTTATGCATTTCTCTGTATAAAGAAATACATTGAGAATTCGCATCCTCTATGTGATGAAAATATTAGTTCTTTCTCGGTTTATTCAACAGAAAACAACTACTTTCCTGGCTATATCCCACGACGAACATTGAATTACACCTATCGAATATACACGATGAGAAATTGAAAACAAAATCTTCTGAAGTAGATAATCTGCATTCTCCTAGATATAAAGATTTGCCACGTCGAAAATTGGATTATATCTGTTGATCATCCAAAAAGAGAGCATGAAAAACGAAAATCCTTTGAAATTGAGAATTGACATCATCTCTCAAATCGGATAAAATAATATGATGTATTATGAAACAAAAATATAACTTACCAATATGTTAGTATTGAAATGTATATTCGCAAATTATTTTGGTTAGTGTAATTCGATAGTTTACGTCGAGCTCTCTTTGGGTTTGAAATATTTGTATTTATTCCATTGGCACCCTGTATTATCATTCATGTTCAAATGCTTCTTCCTCAAACATTGTTTCATGCAACCTGTCACTGACTATCGATTAAAATTCACTTTTAAGTTTGTAATTGTGCAACTTTAGGCGTAATGAGATTTTGGGACAAATCATCTAATTTGACGTTACCACCACTGACCTATAAACAACAAAAACAGAAGTGCACGTTCTAAAAAGACACCAAAACAGAGATCGAAGACATGCAGTGCTGTCATCGATGAGAGAGTGAGAGTTCTTCGCGCATCCTCTTGTATCATCCTTCCATTTGTTATTTATAGGTCAGTGAGCTGAGTACGCAAAAACGTTATTACGGCAAGCTAACGTTCAATCTGTCATGCAGTTGTCAGATACGAATTAGCTGTTTGTGAATGTCATTCAAAATTACATGTAGGATGTAGGTACGTATGAAGTCACTTACCATTCAGTTTTGCTTAGCTTGAAGATAGATTTCTTGAAGAATCCAAAAAATAATATTATGGCGGACGAAATCAAATTGCCATCATGACCGTTCCTTGTATGTATCAGTATTTATTCTTTCAAGTTGAAAGCAGACAATATACTGAAATTTTTAGGACAATTTCGATTTAATTAATTGATTATGATAAAATTAATTAATTTTAGTTTTTTCGCTCTAACGACACTGCCTCGTTTCAAGTTGTTTTTATTTATTGTCAGTTATTCTGAAACTTTTATTTTATTGATGACACTGGCTGTTTGTCATAAAATTATTATGTTCTGGTCAAACACATCTTTTATGAAGTGTCATGTTTGTTTATAGCAATGATTTTTATTCAAAATATAAACACATGAGAAAACTCATAGTCCAGCCAAAAAACCTCAAAAAATGATCCAACCTCCGAAAAAATCCGAAAGTTTTGAAACTTTGCACATTGATTTATAGGTACCTAGGGATGAATATACCAAAAGTCCTCATAAATATGATGCGAGCTCTAGCGGCAATTAGCGGAAACAGGGCACTTTTTTGGTTTTTCGTTAATATCTCGAGAACCGTTGATCGGAGGTGGAGGTTCATC